AAATATATATATATATATATATATATATATACCGAAGGAGATAGCCGGCGTGAAATTTCGTTGAAAAACTGAAGGACAAAGGGATCAAAGCGTAGGCGTTCGCGAAGGAATATTTGGCCACGTCGAAGAATCGAGGAATATTATTACGTTTCGTAGTCGGCCTTTTTTTTCCTTCGCGCGACGACCGTTGCTCGTTTTTGCACGGTAATTCGAAAATACTGGGAATAATTTTCAGCAGGAGCTATACCTGCTGGTGGTCTATGTACTTTTTACGTAGCGCTCGGACCTATGTATCGCGGGCCCCGATGTACACACGCTATATATACATATATATATATATATACATATATATATATACGTATATGTATATATAGATGCGCGTGTACATGCCACCAAGGTAAATATACAAGGTATATAAGGGTAGCGTGTAGGAGATGGTTGGTACATAGAAGTACTTGCTGGAAACGACTAGGGCAGTGAACGGGAGGTGAGACGAGGGAGGAAGGCAAGGGAATGGAGAGATTCTATCCGTCTCTCTTCCTCCCTCCTCCTCGCTCTCGCTCACGCTTCTCTTCCTCTCTCCTCGCCCTCACCGCATCTCTCTCGCTCTCTCGCTCTTTCTCTCTCGCTCTCTCGTCTCCATCTCTCTTCGCTTTACTCCCTCCTCTTTCGTAGGGAAAGCTTCGAACCGTTGCTCGAGAACGTTCTTTCGAACGTGGAAAGAAAACTATATTTGCTCGTTTTTTCGATGCTCGTTTCTACACCGAATGGTGTAGAGTTTCGACAAAAAAAGAATAATTATCGAATATAAGAAAAATTCTCGAGTTCTTGAATTCGAACAATTCTCTTCGAAATTCTTTTCGCGGCTCGAATTACGCATGTTACCTTTCCTAAACCGAAACTTCCAAGTTAATGGTTTCGACGCTGGAATACTGCTTACTTTTATTCTGCTATTGTACACGATCGAGACATAGCCGCTTCTTATCTCGACTCTTTTCGTATGGCGTATTCTACATATGTTTTAAAAGGTAGCAAAAGAATACGTAGAAGGCGTTGTTGAGGAAAGTTGCGTCGTCCTCTCCGGTTTGCCCGGATTCATCGATGAAACGATCGAACGCGAAAGGAAGATTCGGATGGGAGGGAGAGAGAGAGAGAGTGAGAAAGAGAGAGAGAAAAATCGAGAAAAGGAAAAGAGGGAAAGAGGCGAGGTCTCGCGCGGGGTTCGTAGCTACCCCTAAGCCGGGCTGTGGCTGGTGCTGGTGCTGGTGCTGCTGCTGCTGCTGCTGCTGCTCGTTGCTAGGGGAAACCTCCAGAAAACTCTACACACACACACTGGCCGTATGCCCGCTGACACGTATACGCATACCCATACAAATTTTCGCGCATACACCGGCAGAGACACCTATACACTACGCACAGACACGGTCGCCAGCTCGCACACGCTTNCTAAAGGGGGCAACGAGAGGAGCTCACGCACGTACGCTCACGCACACCTTCGCGCGTCCTGGAAAATGTCGATAACGAAAAACCACTGCTCTTTCGCTCTCTCCTCTTGCCCTTCTCTCTTTCTCACCATCTTTCTCGTCTGCCTGTTC